GAGTTTCAAAGCAAGTAGATCCTACATTACATACTTACAGGCACTTTGTTTTGTTGCTCCATCACCAACTTCTAACACCATTGTGGGTCTAGTTACTGATTCCCACAGGTGGTTGCCTATATATTTCTACAGCTTATTACCATTACAGGAGCAGTGGTTATCACAATTAATATCCTAGAAATAGTAAAATGCTGCCTTACAGATAAGGAAATAGAATGACAAAACAAGGCTGGTCGTGTGTGCTTCAAGTCATCTGGAAAAATGTCTATTAAGTCACAAAAGGAGAAGACCTGAACCAGGAAGTAGCATGCTGGCGAGTTTGTAAACTTGAGGGAGGCAGGACACAGCATTCTCTGTAGTTCCTCAGGTTTTAGCTGTTTCATTATTGGGTTTGTTGCATCATTTTTGTTTCTTTTCCCTAGTGATATTTCTCTGCCTTCCAGAAGTTGCTCTTTTTCTTCTTGACAATGTTAGGATATCAGTGGCCGAAAGTCAGGGCGGACTGTGCTTTTCAGCACTGGAACATACTCAATGTGCATGCAGCCATCATATGGTTTTGCTAAACAACTCAGTGCTTTTTAAGTCAGTATCTTCTTAGAAGCTGATAAGCATAATCAGTCAGTGGGTAGGACTTGGTTTTATTTTTGTTGATTGGCTATTTGCACATAAGCTGGTGTAGAGCTTCTTTTGGACTGAATGTCATGAAGTCATCCAGGCTAGGCACCGCACCAAGGTTGGCAATGTTGGTGCTCCATCCCCAACTCTGCCCCACATTCCTTACCACCTTGTTGTGCCCAGTCCCCTCTCTTTCTTCTCATCTGTGAATTCCTCAGGCAGGAGCTCTGGTTCCCTGTGGTCTGAGCATGGTGTCAGTTCCCATCAGGGCTTAATTTCATTCAGTCCTCACAGTGTTATTGTTACTGTACAAGTGAGAAAATAGTGTGTCTGATATCATCTACCTCCACAAATCATCTCCTCAGGTTTAGGACTCCACTACCAGAGAGTTCTGAAAATTCTTGCAAATACAATAGAAAACTGCTTTCTCTTTTCCCCTGCATTTTAAATACAAACAGCATAATGTGGAAAACCTAAATTATATTTTTCATACCATACCTATGCAGTAGGTGTTTGGCACAGTAAATTTAGTCACCCTGACAAAATAATTATTTCCCAAGGGCCTGAAGAAAACTATTAATTTTCAAAATTATTTAAAATTGAGCAGGGAGACAAAAGGCCTGTTCACTCCTTAAGCCCAGTAAAAGCTGATTAGTGAGAATACAGTATAATTTTTGTTTTCTACAGTGGTTATCCAGCAACTGCCCCACATCTGATCCTTGCAATTTTCACAAGAGCATTATCACTGTAAACATGTTCCTACCAATCCAGCTTTAATGTTTGGACTTCATGGATTGTAATTGAGAGAGAATACATTTATCCATTATAGTGACAATACAGAGAAATACCCAGTAGCAGATACCTTGAAAGAGACAGTAAGGGTATACTCTGGTATTTCTGTACTCTTGCTGTTCTGTGCCCTCCTGTAGTGTGCAGTTGCCAGCTGTTAATTAATTGTTGCAAGTTAACAAATGCATCCATTCTGTAACAGAACTGCATTGAATTTCTTTCCAATTTGTCAGGTCTTTTTGTCTTACTCTTCCTCTGCTAGATCACATTTATGGCTGGTAAATTGGTTTCTGAAATGCAGCCTCACACACTTTGGTTTTGAGTTAGCTTTCTTCTCTGCAGGACACTGCTATATACTGTACCTTTTAAGTACCCAAAATCAATTTAATTAAATTTCATTACAGGCACTAGAGCTGAAACAAACTAATGAAAGCCGCCATCACGTCAGGTGGTATTTATCTCAGCATTAAATTGAAAATACTCCCTTTAGGCACTTAAAAATTAGTTTAATATTTAACGCTAATAGCTTTTGGAATTGTTGATGGGGATAGTTTTTAATAAATTTGTTACAAACTGTTTACCTTTCCATAAAAAAAAAAGCTTTTTCCTCGTGGCATAAGGGAGCTTAAGATAGATGACTTAAAAGTATTAGGATTTTGAAATACTGTGAGGTCTGGGAGCTGCCCATAATGCTGTTGAAAAACACCAGGAAGGTTGTCGTGCAGTGACAGCAATATGCCTTGTCTAGACAAAAGCAGTGGCAGTCACCACAGTAGAATGCTATTGCCTGCGCCCCAGTTACAACTGGATTTTGCTCTCTCACTGTTTAGACACCTTGCAGTGCTGTTTCAGGGGAAGCAACATTGACAAAGCACCTGTTGATACTCTGCAGAACAAAACTGGTGCCACACACTCTTCCTGTAGAGTTGTTGGACTGTGCAGATAACAGTGGATTTCATCCAATTCCCATCAGAAACAGGGTCCAGGTATTAATGTGAACAATACAGCTGGAATAGACAACAGGAGGAAACATTTAGGGGAAGATTTGGGTCACTTTTTTCTGACTCACTTGCCAGGGGTTTATTTGAGGGAAGTAAAAGTGCAAAAGGAGTGTGTATCTGGCCATGCATGTATCCAGATTCACAAAGGTGGGAGCATTTATGACTCGCACTATGTAAGTGTGACTGATGTCTCCTCCTTTTGCAGGCAGGCAGTAAGAAATAGTCTATTCCTTCTCTTTTATCTGATCTGGAGTCTGCCTTCTTGTTATCTTGCTCTTCAGCAGTCTTGTTAAGAAAAAATAAATGATAAGAAAACTGTAACAGAGTAAATTATAGAGTCACCTTTCTGGTAAGAACATCTGACCCCAGAGGAGGAAGAAGGGAACCGTTTTTCTTCAGCAGGATAAAGGCATGGGCTTCTCACGTGTTCGCTGCTTCATTTTTACAGTAGACAAATCACTGTGCAAGTTATTATTAACAGGAGAAGGAAAAATAATGCTAAATATGTTATTTACAGTACTGATGCTTGGATAAGGTTATTGTGCGTTGTTATTCATTATAGCTATTAGTTCTATAATAGTTCTTAAACTATTCTTTAAAAATACACATTTTATATATATACATTATATATATGTACATATATTGAAAACTTTCTATTAATTTCCAGTTTGATTTAAGAATGTAGGGCTTTACGTATGCTTTTGTTGGTGTTTCTTATTGATTCTTCCTCTAGGTTGGAGGATGCAGCTTATGTAAAAGTAGTGTTGTACATGAGAGATCGGATATAAAAAATATTGGTTTAAGCAAGTTGTATTAAAGATTAGCTATTTCTTCTTTCATCTTGCTTTTTTTTAGTAATTAACTGGTTTTCTTCCTTACATTTTCCTGTATGACTGCCATGAAATATGAGGTGCAGTTCAGTGAAGTGTCCTTAAAGTTTACTGCTTTCTGTGGACAAGCCCTCACTATCAACTCAAGGGAAAGTCGTTACTACTGTGAAAGCCACAGCCCAGACTTTTCACTTCTTATTTCTTCTGAGATTACAACTGAGATACATCCATGTTTATACAAATGTGCTATGTAAGGAGTACAGGAATTCAGAATCTGTAGTTAGGTGTCACAGTTAGGTGTCATAGGTGGACAATCTATGTATTTCCCTCTACATGAGCTATGAGTATCTTCTTCCTGCTGTGTCACACTCTCGCTGAGTTCCCTGAAAGTTTAGTGGAATGGGGATATTCAAGCCATTTTCTGTTGCAGTTCTGAGAGCCATGTGCCCATGGTTTCTGTAGACAGAGCAAAGTCAGACACATGCCTTGGGCGAAGGCAGAGGATGGGAGGCAGTGGGGTTCAAGACTGGATGTCTGGAGTAGCCTGAGGTGGGGGGCAATATCCTTTACCACCCCAGTGGAGAAATAATTTTCTACAAGCAAGAGGAAAATTGGTGCTTGGTAACATTTTGCTGATTTTATTTTTATACGGCATTTCACTGCAACGATTTTGTTTAGCGCTGTGCCAGGCACTTGACTCGATTTTCACTGAGCCCAACAAAAAGTTAGGATTTTTAAAAGGCTTATGCCTTTAGTGTGAGACTGGGAAAACTCTGTTACTGATTTAGATTTAACATTAAGCAGTTATGAAGACAGTTAAAATCTATCAGTACTTGAAGACATTTGAAACACCGTTCAAGATGAGGTTGAATGGGCCTTTGAGCAACTTTGTCTAGTGGAAGGTGTCCCTGCCTGTTGCAGGGGGTTGGAACTAGATGATCTTTAAGGTCCCATCCAACCCAAACCATTCTGTGATTCTAAGAAGAGCAGTAGCAAAAGTCAGTTTATTCTCTCATGATACTTTCAAACTATTCTCAGTATCCTTTAAAAAATTTAAATTACATTATTTTGAATTATCGCATTATACTATGGTACTGGAATAAAACATGAACAAATTAAAATATCATATTTTATTTCTGAACTAGCTGTTTCTAGTATTTGTATTTCTCTCTTTGGTTGGGTTTTTTTGATACATCACCATTACCACAGCTTTAAGTAAAAGGAATAAAATTCCTTTCTGTATATCTTGGAGAAAAAAATGCAATGAGAAGAATGCACTGATTCTTTTTCCCTCACATGTGAATAAATGTACAGGTAATATAACTGTTCCCATCTACTTACTCCAAAACTTCCTTATAAGATAGAAATGATTCAAAGCAGAAGCTGGTTTTCACCATGAAAACAAGCTGTCTTCTGATTTGGAATTTTCGTAGCCAGAATGCCATTTGGAATGTGAAAACAGAGGCATGGAAAAAGACAGAGCTATTAAACAAATAGCCTAAAATGTTGTTCAGTGTTATCATAATTTGGGTGTTTCAGAAATGTGTTACTTTATAGCACTTTCTGAATTTTGATATTTCTTCTGATATGTCAGTACAGTCAGTATGTCATATCCTGCACCACTATTTGCCACCCAGTGGCAGGGAAGAGGTAGTAGCCTACTTAAGTATATGTAGTGAAAACACTAGAGAAAATTACTCTGTACTTAAAACGGGGGCGTGTATGGCATTTTCACTGACTACTGTCATAATGTTTGATGTTGCAGGATGGATGGTCACAGTATCACTTTGTAGCCTCATCTTCAACAATAGAAAGGGATCGGCAAAGACCGTACTCTTCATCACGCACGCCCTCCATCTCTCCTGTGCGCATGTCTCCTAACAACCGCTCAGGTAAGACCAGGCTTTCAGGACTGAGGTAAAGACAGAGGTAATGCAGCGCTGTCATTTTCATTCTTTAAGCAATGTTACTGACATCCAGATTTGTTAACAGTGGTGGAAAGGCACAAAATACATTCTTTACTCTTACCTGAATTATCTGTTCAAAACAGGATGTTTATATTTTTTTTTCTATTAGCACCTTTTAAAGTTTTCCAGCAGGAAGAATATTCCATAACTTCTTGTTATCAATTCTCATGCATTGTTTTCCTGATTTGGATTACCTGACTAGATCTCAGAGCAGTGGTGTCCGTGAAGGAAATGGACATGAGGAGATTTTGTTACTTAATATTCTAGTTGTTAATGACGACTTGGAAGTCATCTTAGAACACTTGGAAGTTGTTGAAGGATCCACATTATTTTTTATTCCTTTTATATGTATATGTATAGGCTTTTATTCCTATTATATGTATATGTATATATCATTTATGCATACACATGTATGGATAAGTTTCACAAAAGATTGACTACAGGTCTTCATGTAAGGTTGATGGCATATTTACACCAGCTATCATTAGTTCTCTATGATCCGTACAATGAATTAATGTAATTAATGTAATTATGCTGTAGCTTCAATTAACTTTTCTATTCATAAATCTGGGCATTTTTCCCTCAGCTTATTCTAAGGCACAGCATACCTTGGTTAGATAAAACCATTCCCAAATAAAATCTTTAAACAGTCAGCCTTTCAATGTGCTTTTCACTACTTGTTCAGTCAAATCCTGTCAATCCATAGGTATACCAAGAATTTAGGATTAAAATTGGCCAAACTGATTATTGCAATGAGCATCATGACATAGTTTTGTTTCTAAGAAATACCCTTTTTTTAATTACCTGGAAGCTGCATCTTAGTCCTGCAGAACAACCTCTGAGAAATATGAAAATGTAGCCAGAAGTACAGTGAGAGCTGCTATTCAGTTCTCAAAATCTGTCATTACACAAGTCCATAAAGGGCTCTTGTTCCGTTTTTCTTTCTCCAAAATCTCATTCTTACTGTAAGTACAAGACACTTGAAATGTCTGGCCCCAAGATCTTAGTTCTCTTTCCAGAACTGTCTCTTCACTTATGTTACTTTGTTGCTTATAGAACATACTTCTTAGAGAAATTTTGGATGGAATCTTACTGCCATCATCAGTATCATAAGACTGCAAAAGGACTAATATGGTGCTGGTTTCTGAAGGAAGAGGACCCATGTAATTACAGACCAGTCAGCCCAACTTCATTCTAGAAAACTGCTGTAACAAATAATCACAATCTGAGCATCTCAAAGAGTAGGAACGCAAGATACTGCTTAACTCTAGGAGTATCTATTTCTACACAGCATAAGTTACTGTCTGACTAGTAGTATCCATATCAAATCCAAGCATTGGTTTAGTACGATTTGTTCTTACAAAATGCACCTGAATTCCTACTACAACATAGTTAAAGCACTTTATGGAAACAACAGTCAGTAAGTGAAATCTACTGTAATCAGTAAGACTTTTTCAGAAAATAATTTTATAGGCAAGCTAGAGCAACCGGGAAAACAGTCCAGAAAGTGTCATGTGTGGTAAATAAACTGACTAAAAGCCATTCACAAAGAATGGGTATTGTTTAGTGCCAAAATGGAGGAGTGCTTTACTTGGAGGTTTGCCTGGGTCCCAGTAGTCTTCAGTGGCTTCATTAATAGCCCAGATAATACACAAAAGATGCCTATTACCTTTGCAGGTGCCACAAAGCTGGGAGAAACATATGTACCTTAAAGGTCAATATTGGAATTCAGAGTGATACTGAGAAATTGGAGATACTGTCCAAACGGGAAAAAAGATCCAGTCCTTTACAAATAAATTATAAGGAGAATAGCTGGCTGGACAAAAGTTCTTTTGAAATTATTTAGGGATTTTTTGTCAGTTGCACACATGAATCATGAGATGGAGAAATCAGGGTATGAAAACTACTGCATGTACTGTAATTGTTTAACTCAAATAAGAGAGACATAAGACGGGGTCAGCGGGAAGAGGTACACACCAAGTATTCGAGCCAGCTGTGAAGAGGGACAGCATAAACTTTCTCTACTTTCATAGCAGGCAGCTGGAAATAATGAGCAGCGAAGAGTCACGCTAGGCATCAGGGAACATTTCCTAACAGGAGGGAGACAAAGCACTGGAACAGACTGCTTGGAGCAGTTATGTGATCTCTGTCATTAGAGATCTTTAGTTTTAGATTAAAATCTGTCAAGAAATATTTTGGTATACTGGATCCTACCTTGGGGTAAAGAGTTGAAGTAAATGAACTCACAATGTCCCATTCATCCCTAGGACTTAAGAGTTCTGTCTTCTTCTCTGTGTCCTTTAAGAATAGAAAACCTTGATACCACTTTTCAGTCTAATGTCAACCAGTGATTTCATATCTGCTTCCAGTAAAGGCTCTGAAAGAGGGCACTTCTGGATTTTAACACTTGCCAGAAAGTAGTTGTTCTCACATAGGAAGAGAGAGTCAATTCCCACAGAGAACAAAGAGAGGTGTTTTTGTCTGTATTGGTCAATTGTGTTCGAAACACCAGAGTGCTTAAGAGCATTAACGAAGTATGAGAGACAAAATGCATCCCCGTGTAAGCAACTTCTTCAAGGTTTGCATTCTGGTTTGTTCCCTCTTAGACTTGTCATTAGCTGATTTGGAAATTTAATGTCACATTTCTTTACACCTGCTGGATTATCAGCTTTAGAATTACATCACTATAAACAAGCAATTTAGAAGCAATCCCAAATTTTAATGGCCTCATAAGAAAAAACTTTTGTCCTGCATTTGTTTTGCATACAGAAGCCAACACCAACAGAACCAATCTAAGCAGAATTCAGCATCACTTTTGCTTCCCTATTCCTTAACTAAAAAATGTAACATAGTTTAGAGAGGCTGAAAGATACAGTTCATGATCAAGCATAATGAATGAGCTTGTGTTTTTTGTATAGACTTTTCTTTCCTTTTAGGGAAGGACATTGTTACTGCTTTTGAGGTTCTTTTGACACACCAAATACCTGGGTGGAGGTAGGAGAGGGTGTGGAAGTAAGCGCCAGTCTTTAGTTATTTTTGCACACTGTGCCTTCACAAGGCTCTGGTGTGTGCTTCCACTTGCCCTGCACTCCTTCCCCTGCTCTCCACAGCAACGAAAGTGAGTTGTATCTGCCTACTCCTACATACAGCGAAGTCAGTTCATGTGAAAGCCGTTATTTTTTTCCTAAGCGTCACAGGCTCTAAGTCTTCATAATCAGTGCCAGTGATCAACTTCACATTCTCAAGTACATGAAAATCAAGTACATACCAGTTCTCCTTCTAGTCACCTTGTACTTTCCTTCTCTTAGCCATACCACAAGTATAGGTGAAGGACTTCATTTTAACAATAGCTTAAAGTAGCAGTTGTTGTTCTAAAGGCAATTGTTCATAGAAATTTAAAGACAGATAATTATTGAAGTTACCTTTAAGTGTTAGGCATTCTTTGCTATATGTTTTCTAAGAAAAATATGTTTCTTTTCTTCCCATCTCTACTAAAATCCTTTAATTGGTTTGCTTATTTTCAAGGGAGAAAGGAAGAAATCATCTTGTATCATTTTTTTTCCACACAGTCGATAGTTAATGGTCTTTTCAACAGAAATAAATAAATCGTTTTGAAAAAAAAAAAAGGAAGTGCCTATACCAGAAAATTTTGACAAGTTAAAGAATTTGGAAAGCAAGTTTTTAATTATTGTACTTTTTTTGCAATGATCACCTTAGTTGTTGAGTATAGATGAAAAAAGTAAAACATTCAGAGAGAAAATTATGTTTGGAGTTGACTGTTGCATGAATACATTTGTCCTGTACTTGAAATAACAGCACCTTTTCTTTTCCTCCCTAATGGGGTAGTGTTTCTTCAAACAGCATAATTTTAGTATGCACACAAGTATACATTTTACTGAAATGTTTACTCTAGAGTTAAACATTCATATGTTCAGTCATATGTGGCAAGAAAAAACAAATCCATTTTTGTGATCTAGCAAGTGCCCCAGCCTCACCTCGGGAAATGATCAGCCTAAAAGAAAGAAAAACAGACTATGAATCAACTGGAACAAATGCCACTTACCATGGAAGTAAGGGGGAACACACTTCCAGGAAAGACACCATGACAGGTGAGTTTATGCTTGCATTGCATATGTAAAAATCAGGTGATTGTATAGGCTTGGCTGGGTTTGCTGAATAAGTACTGGATCCTAATGAACAGAATGGTATGTGAAAAAGATTTGTGAAGACCATGTTTCTTCAGAGAAGGCTATAAAATCAGATTTATGTTTCTTTGTAACTTTACATTTTCATTTCAGAAGGAAGTTGGGAGATCACTTTGAGTTAACTAGTGTTGTTTCTGCAAGTACGACAGTGGTTGAGCATGTGTCCTAACATCTGTCTTTGACAGGGAATGGCTTTCCAAGGCCAGTTAGCTTATTTTGCACATCAGTCATCCCTAGGAAATCTGCTGGTGGTTGTGAATTCTGTCTGTGTTCCTTTCCCAGCTGGGCTGATTTCAATGCAACAGTTTTTTCTCTGTGTGTTATGGCGCCTATTGCAGGTTTCACTGAAGGCCCGTCCCCCCTGGTGAGCTCATTAACTTGTCAGCATTTCAGTAATTACAGAATTTTGAGTGCTGGGCCCAGTACTGCACCTCTTAATTAATTCTCTTGAAAAACACATGTTGGTCTCCCATCACCATTGCACAGGCTTATATAACCTTTACTGACCATGTTGTTGCACTTACATAGTACTGAGCAGTGTGGTGTCCTCTTCTCCAAATGCAACCACAGTGAGGAGTCACTGCACATTCTGAGTGGCTGTTACTGTCCCCTATGCCCTCTGTAAAAGTCTTACTCAGAGGATGCCAGAATGGGGGGTCTCTGGGTTCCTCAGCTCACTGGGGACATCAGGAACATGCTGCCTCAGAATCAAGCCATCAGTACTAGTTTTCAAGACCGTATTCAGGATATGATGATAGTCATACTGCATCTACTGTGTTATTCACTGCTGCATAATCAAAACCTAAAGGCCGGCCTTTGTGTGAAAATGCAATATGGAACATTAATTAGCACGAAAGTGAAAACGTGAAGATGAGGAATAACAAGAGCATTTGGAAGCCACTGAAATTAAGAGTCTCCTGAATGACATCTGCAGAGTACTACATGAGATTGCAGCATATTCAGTCAAGGTACTGCATTTTATATATCTGTAATATTTTGAGTGTTTCATAGTCATTGCACAAGGTGTTTCTCTAAAGCACTTCAGTGGTCCTTATTTGTGTGATTGTGAAGGACAGGACTGTGTTTCTTTCAGTACTTTGTCAAGGACCCACAAAGAGGGAATCTCTGGAGTAAGAACAGAAGGCTGAAAAGGCAGAAACACTAGCATTTTGTTCTAGCTTTATCTGCAAATTCAGACTACCAGATTAGATTAGAAGGTTCACCCAAAAAGAAGTGTTCCATATGGAAAACGTGTGTTTACATACAGGTAGTCTTGTCTTTTGCCACACATTAAAAAAAAAAATAGAGTTTTCTTTTTCCCCAACCCTTTTCATTTTGTCTTTCACAGCAGTGCTTTTCTTCTCCCATTCGTGTTTCCCTTGTTTCCTTTATCTTTCAATATACTTTTTGGAGCGTGAGATTTATACTTCCCCTTCAACCTTTGCTCCGCTTTGAGTTTTGCATCATGTTTTCCTTTAATATCTGCTTGTATTTGTCTGTTCCTATTGATCTTTTGAGTGGGCTTTTAGTAAGGAAACTTGAAAGATTCAGCATCACGATCAGCTATTGACTTTTTCCAGCTGCTGAGCTCAGTGAGAAAAATGAAAACCAAAATCAAGTTGAAAAGGGCAATAATATTTCACAATCACACATGACGATTGTATGAATTAATATGGAGTTAACAAATCACTTTCTCTTTCTTTCAGATCACCAAATCTCTGCTCATTTGCTCTAAGTTCAAATTAAGCACCGTTCTAAGAACAAAAGAAAATGACAAAAGGAGTCTTGTGCCTCAACATTCAACATGAAATTTATGTAACATATTTGTAGCTCAGGAAATAATAAATATTTCATTAAAAATGATATTAAATCAGTATTTGTAATTTCAATTGTGAGACATTTTGGCTTTATTTGAATGGTCTAATAGAAGTTCATGTAGCAAGTTCATTGCAATCTCTGTCTTTCATTTTGTGGGTCAGACAGTCCATTGCAGCTAATGCATCTGTGGAATCTATGGGATAAATGTTTTTTCAGGTTCCACCTGATGTATGCATATTTTGAGCTGCTCTTGTATTTTGTGCCAAGCTGATGTATCACACAAAGCATTCTTCGACTTACAGGTTTACACGGAATGTAAAGCCACAACTGTAGTTCCCATTTATCCATGGCTGTCTCCATGTTCTTCTCCAAAGCTCTTCCCAGTTTATAGTTCAGAAATTTTACGACCTCTTGGTTGGGACTGAAATGAAGGTTTTTTGATGGATTTTTGAAATAGAATGTTGGCTTCTCGCCATTGTGGGGAGTTGTTAGGAAACCTCTGGGGAAAATGGAGTAAACAGTGTGGCTGAAGATAATAACTTACATCGATTTCACAAGGACAACTAAAAAAAAGAGGAACAATATCAAAGTTCTCATTGCCCTCTTCACGGGTTTATGATGTCTTTTATATTTACAGTCCATCTCTTCTCTGAAGAAAATAATAACCAATAATAAAATTTTATCACCTAAAGTATATTTTTAAGACAAAACCTATTATATTTATTTAAAAAAACAAAACAAAACCCCAGAAACTTTAGGTGCATGTGATAACTTTAATTACGCGATGGTGTCTTCCTTCAGAACAGGGAAGATGCGGCTACTGTATACTGTCATGGAACCCCTATTCTAAAGTTTCTTTTACTGTGTTAGTTCCCTCACTGAAGTAATCTGTGCATCGCAGACTGCACCCTCTATCTTCACTTTCACCAGCAGAAGCATATTCTGATTAATATATTTTCTTTTGGTTTTAAAGAATCAGTCATCTGTACTTTTGGTTTTTAAACTTGTTTTCAAGTCCACACATACAGAACACAACCAACTACCATCACCTTTTACAATAGCTACAGATACTAAGGCTACTCATTATTACTTTAAGAAACCATCTTTTCTCATGCCCTTACCTCATCTTTCACCATGCAGGAGGGTGGCAGTGGCAGTGACAGGTAATGATCTGTGGTAGGTGAGATTTGTGAGGCATAGAAGCATTTTGCTTTACTGTCTTGAACTAGATTTTAGAAAATGGAGTCCTGCTACTTATATCAGAAAAAGCAGGTTACATGATACCAGATGAAGACCACTCTTATGTCTAGCTGAGTGTTCCTTTCTTACTATCAGTCTGTGTTTCTGAGGGAGAAAGGCTAGCCTCTTGCTTTTTCAAAGTATCTGTAAATGTGTTCAGAATAAGTACTTGAAAGAACTGAAAGCTGAATGTTAAACCATGAATCAAGTGACTGGGGTATATGAGGACAGCTTCAGTCAGGGATACCTTTGTCACATAAACCACAGTGTGACATAATTTTGAAAGCTGTTGTCAGCTTTGCAGAAAACTGCTATGGGGAGCTGTATGATTTTTTTGTTTAACTGGTATCACCTTGAAAACTAAATGGGGGAAAAAAGAAGGTATTTTTCTGTAATGCTCTTTATGAAATACAGTCACAAAATACTGCAGGTTGATCACAGTACTCATTTTAGAACCTTCACAATTTTGCTTTGTAAAAACTGCTGCTTCAGTACTATCACATACTGATGTTTAGGTACTGCATAAAATACACTCATCACTCCTCAGATCTTTTCGTCTGTAGCCGCAGTTCTCACATTTCTGTAAGAAAGCGTGGCTGCTGGAAAATCTCCATGTTAGACCTTGTACCCCTTCCCCTTCTCTTGCCATGTTTTAAAGAAGATTATTTCATTAATGTTTCTTTCTCCCTGTTTGAAAAATTTACTATGATAGTTTGTATACTGCATTAACAGGAAAAATCATATTCTAACCACACAATATCTGTCCATTCAGCTAGCTCATTCTCTCCCTTTTTTCTCTTACATTTGCCCTCTGCTTTTGGACAGCAAGAGTCAACTGCTCACTGAAGCATGGCAGAGCAGGAACGGAGTTCCCAGGGATACTGCCTGCTTGTTCAGAAGCAGGTACTGGAGGGGGCTATGTGCACTGCTAGCAGCTACATTGCTTGACTTGCATTCCCTCCAGAGAGAACTATCCCAGCCTCCCAGTAAGACTAAGTCAAAACTTGAACTCTTAGCATTCATTTCCGAGTATTTGCTGTGTCATTGGTTTTATTACATTAAGAAAATAATGCTACCTTTTGGTTATTTTTTTCATTTTAAAGTTGTGAATTTGTACTCATCACTGATTTCACAGCAGCACAGACCTTGCAGCTATTTTAACAAGCCGATACTGTCAATTTTCCATTGCAGAATATGTGATCTGGGACACCTTAAGTCTTTGATCCGGCATGTGACGGTGTATCAGTGCAAATGTCACAGTAATGAATTGGATAGCTATGCACCAACTATAAACTATTTCTGGTTTTATAATAGTCATGGCTATTTGCTGTTAGTGGCACATATGTACAATATGCGTTTTTACATACCTGTAAAAAGATGGAGAGGTTATGATGCTCCTTAAAGTCTCTCTGATTGCCTGTAGGAACAACATACAAATTAATTAGCATGTGTCTAATTTGCTGTTCTTCATCACATTCTTCATAAAACCCTCAGATGTCGCACCTTATACCAGTCTTTTATTCTTGACATCAACCAACCATGAATAGTATTGTCCTGTCTGGTCATGCCTGACTAAAATCTTGCTTGCAGGAAACTTCAACCCTGCTTATCTTGCCATCCATATACATGAAAACAAAATGGTTACAGGAGGTTATTCCTAGGTTTATGAGATTCCAACACATTGAATATCACTTTCATCTTTTTCAAGAAGTAGCACTTCACAAAATGGTTAGCTGAAATGCTAATTATGAGAATCTCTGGATCTTGAGAAAAGGAATTTGTATAACCCAGCTTCTTGCAGTGTGTGGGGCCAGCAGAAACAGCATGAAAAGAAGATGATATCAAGGGAAGATCTGGCAGTTGTACTACTGAGAGTCATGCCGTCATGAGATGCACCATAAATAGCAATGCTGATGCAGACTCCTCTAATACCAAAGACTGTCATCAGGAGGGGGACTTTTTAACTCTAAAGCAGAGGATGCTGCCAGAATAAATAAATAAGTTAAAAACCAAACACTGAAGGAAGTCTCACACACCACTCAGGTTAGGTGACAGAATGCAGCCTGAACAGAGAGAACCTCTGCAGATCAAGCTTTCAGCACTTTACATCTAAGATCAAGCACTTCGCATTTCCATCTGTTATCATCTAGTAGCGCAGAGGTGTAGGTAAGAGTACCTACCTCTGGAAAAGACCATCCAGCATCTGTAACCAGAGTTCGTATTCTTCCCGCTTCAAAGAAAGGATCCTGCCGCACTCCTCGGAGACCTCCAGAGCTCTTCTCCATTTCCTATACAAGACTATGCACTGTCTCAGTAACTGCATCCGGCTCTTCAACAAGAAGTTTTTTCACACCTATTAATGGTTATGAAGTGAAATGTCTTTTTTTTTCCAGCTGTTAGGGCTCATCACCCTACCATATAATCCCTGTCTTTATCCTGTTCCAAGGACACACTTGAGATATTTAAGAACATGATCTAAAATCTGTAAAACAGCAACATGGAGCAGAGGGAAGAGTTTGTACATGCTGGGATCCATGCTAGCAGGTTGACAAAGAAAGTGGTTCTTCAGTAACTGTGGTTCTTCTTAGCAATGTGGCTAGCATGGGTCCCATACCCAGCTTTCAGCTCTGATGCTTAGTCCTCACTACGAAAGTTTTTGAGCTGCAAAGGTATTAAAAGCAACACTTTGGTGCCTTCAGGTTTTGTACCATTACACAGGGACCTGAGAGAAGTCATGTGCCCAACATGTTTCGTCTCCAGTGATGACTGATTCACAACTACTCAACTTTTATTTTCAGGCACATGCTTTTATAATGAGAGTCCTCATGACGGTATCAAATCATTAATTCTCATGTCTGGAAAGTCAATAACATGCATGCCTGGTAAGAATGGTGCACAGCAGCCACACACACAGACAAAAATTACTGCCGTCTTTCAAATACTACACTTTCAGATACGAGAAATAACTATAATCTTTTCAGTTCGACCAGCAAACTAAGCTTCAGCTAGATAGCCAAATCAGTGTGATCAGTGAAGTCAGCTTTGCCTTAGCTTTTCACAGGGTTTTGGGGGGCAGGGTGGGAAAGAATGGGTTATTTTGAAAACTGTGTTATCCTTGTCTTTAGAATTACTTCTGCTTTCAAATTCATAGCTCAGTTTGCTCCCTGCGTTTTAGAGGTAGGGCATCTGAGAACAAAGTAGCAGAGAGTTTCAGACTGTCTTGGCCAGGCCTATTCAGTCTACATACAGCTTTTTTTTTTTCTTTTTGTTTAACTCGTTTTTTTCAGTTGCATTTAATCACTTTTTCCATGAATAATTTTATGTTGCCATAGGATAATAATAATCCACATCATCCAACTGAAGTGAAAGGACTGAAATGTTTCTTAATGTTTACACCTGTTACCTGTTCAGTGTATGTGTGGTATAAAATCCCATATGTAACCTGATATATATTACCAAATACTAGCTGTATGTTTTGTTATTTATTGAAGTTATTTTGTTGATTTATATGTGAAATGCACAAGATTGATATGAACATGACATAGCACTTGTTAATAAGTGTATACCATGTACATGCATGTACAACAAAGCAAAAATTATGACTGTATTGTGGGAGGAAGAGAAAACAAATCTGCAAATGTTTTTGAAGATTTTTTTGTGGGGGGAACAGGCATTTAATGAAGCCGTAAGAATTCATTTTGAGGCCAAAGAGGTATGTTTGGTAAACCTGCTTTTTCCTTCCTTTTTCCCCTCTCCAGCTCAGAACACTGGAATCTCAACTTTGTACAGGAATTCATATGGTGCACCTGCTGAAGATATCAAACATAACCAGGTAGGTAGAGAGACAAAAATGCTACAGTTCCAATGTAACGTCTTATATGGAAATGAAGAAAAACATCACAAAGATTGGTAAATCTAGATTAGAGGAACTGAGTCACCCACTTGCACAAATGCTAGCAATTCCACTGGCTTCAAAGAAGCTATATTCCTTACGCTAATGGATAATTTCAGTTAAATTTCAAAAACATCCAACAGGTTATGATAGCATATGCAGAAAAATTATTTAAGGTGTTTAAGCCTGTAGTTCAGAATGAAGGCAAGAGGGGCTCGGGACCTGAATACCTTTAAAGTTCTGGATAGATGCCACATCCCTAGAAACATTCAGAGCCAGGCTGGATGGGGCTCTGAGTAACCTGATCTAGTTGAAGATGTCCCTGCTCACAGAAAAAGGCCCTCTGCTCTATGGATGTGTATGGTAGTCATACGTCTGCAATTTCCAGTGTATTATTTCTTTGGTCCCCAGGAATTAGACATTTTTCTGCATCCATAGACTTCTGTTTCATCATTACGTGTAGTGATACTTTATCCTTAATTACAACTCCTCAATAGTTTCACAACTTCCCTAGGTAATATGCATAAGTTACAGTACTTTTATCTAAAATGAGGCCAAAAACATTTAAGAAAAACACTGAAAATTCATACTAGTATCAGACAGGTAAATTAATATGTAGTAAGAAAGATTTTTCACCAAAATTTTTTACTAGGCTAACTGAAATTTCCATTTAAGAGACCGATATTTCAGTCTTAATCCACAAACTTCAGGTGAAGAGAGTTTCTGATATTCTGTTCCCCCATTTCTCTTTATTCTTTTTTTTTAATTAGACAGTGTTTCCTGTAGTGCACCATATTTCTTTGTGCAAGACAGTGCATGAAGGTGTTTCTGCTTTTATTGCATTTAAGGAGGAAATAAGGGTATGAGGTGTTGAAGGAGCAGGTGCACTCTAATTGCAGTCATGAATCAACCAATTTGATTTGGAGGGGGGAGAATCTGAGCAAAACAAAACAACCCAAAGTCCTCTAGTTTTCCACCTTTTTGCACTTGCTTTCTCATTGAAATGTCAGGTTTATGATTGACATATTGGAAAGAATGGTTTTAGCTGAAAAGAATGCAGAAGTACTACTTCAGTCCCCTATTTTCTACTCAAAAAACGACCGTCTCTTAGCTTTTTGTCATATAAGTAGGTTGCTTCAGACAGAATTTTTCTCCTGCATCCAAAATTAAACACCTGTGTTTGAATATATGAAATTAAAGGAGGAACTGAAGGTCCTGTACACCTGGATAGCAGTACTAGAAATAGAAGCTAGAGTAGTTGTGCTCTTTTGTGCAGTTCTAATACTGCGCCCAGTCTTGTTAGATCAATCACTTGTGGGATTGTTAAGGCAGCAGACACAGGCAGCATTTTGCACCCTACGCATGGAGTCCAGTACAGATGTGCTTTATGCCACAGAGTTTGGGCCGTAGCAGTGCAACCGTTCCTCTCTTCTTAAAGGAGCATTATCAACTTTTGCAGAGTCAGCAGGGTATGCATTCTCCTGCCACTGCCATCTGAGCACCAATATTCCAGGGGATGACCATTTGAAGATTGAAAAGCTGTATCATTTTGCAGTCACAAAACTGCCCAGGCTTACAGAGGTGGCGTAACACAAAAGATAACATTCCACTGAAATACTTACTTAGCATGACAGTTTTCAGATTGTAATTAAGTCCCAGATTTAAAACCAGAGACTCACTAAGGCTGTCTGCAAAAAACTTTATGGAAAACTTAGGTTTGGGGGACCACCCAAGGGTTTTTTTTTGCATCTCATAAATATTTCAGCATCAAGGCAACTTCCTGGAATGTACCAACATCACAAGATTGCCAACATGGAGTGTTGAGGAGGTGGCAAGAAGGTGGTTCTGCTTACAGTTAGCTGAACACATTTTAGAGCACTTACTTAGCTTGAAATTTCCTCATGTCAGTGCCCTGCAGACTGTCAGTGGTTCTTAAGGATACGATACCACCCTAAATCTCACTTTTGGCAAAGGCAGCTGCAAAATGTTTAGTATTTTTGGAGTGTATAACACTTCCATTCAAATTTTGCAAGGCTGAGTTTTGGCCACCAATGTTTGTGTTATATAGCTGCAAAACAGTCAATAAGTTACACACAGATTGTAGTTACAGAAGTAACTGTAAGCTGTGATGCTTGAACTTCATTTGAAGTAAACCATCATCTTGAGCAGCAATAATATTAAATAATAAATGTATTTAATAAAAACATTAAATAGATATAAAGAAATGCAATGACAAGGCAAAGCTGTAGGATTAATTCACTACCAAGCAATACCTTGAGATGTTAAGCTAATGCACAACTTGGTACTTCCAGCATGAAAAACGTGAGATTTACTCCTTCTTCCATCCTGTTGCCCACAATAAGTTGTATCTGACAAACTGGGGGTATTACTCTTTCAGGTTTCAACACAGCCAGTTCCACAGGAGCCCAGCAGAAAAGATTATGAACCATATCAGCCATTTCAGAATTCAACAAGAAACTATGACGAGTCCTTCTTTGAGGACCAAGTGCATCATCGCCCACCTGCAAGCGAATACAACATGCACCTGGGACTAAAGTCAACTGGCAACTATGTCGACTTCTATTCAGCTGCTCGTCCCTATAGTGAACTGAACTATGAAACAAGCCACTATCCAGCCTCTCCCGACTCCTGGGTTTGAGACTTGGGCAGATACAAAAGCTCCAGGAACTGTGCATGTGCATGCATACCACAAGACGTTTTTTTTCCTGCAGATTTAGTTTGTTAAAGCCTGTTCCATAGGAAGGCCCAGATAACCAGAATGGCAAAATTTAAGAGATTTTTTTAGAAGGCTAAAAGATACAAAAGCTAAACCTGGGAGTAATTAGAAGGAAATATATATACATATATATATTTTACAGTGTGGGGCAACTTCATTGTTGGCCTGTAGAGTCTAAAGTTTGGTGCTGTATATTGAATGTGGCTGAAGGAAGGAGGGAGAACATGGCAGTGGATGTGGGTCAGGAGTTAAGCACAAGTAACTGAGCAGCGTACATACTTTATGGGGAACAGCTTCTCACACTTTGTTTAATATCCTCATTCATTGTGAATCTAGGCTTCAAGTTGCATTTGGGGTTTCCTCTGTACAGCAAGATGTTTCTTGCCTTTTGTTAATGCATTGTTGTAAAGTATTTGATGTACATTACAGATAAAAAAAAGAAGTGCATTGTGTATATTACACCAATGCCACGGTGTTTCTTCATCTATGGTTCTAAATATTGCTTCAATTTCAAATTTTGAAAGATGTATGAATTTCCAGGTTTTTGTTTTCTTTTCCCCGGTGCGTTTTACCAAAAAAAAAAAAAAAAGAAAAGAAAAAAAAAAGAAAAAAAAAAAGAAAAAATCAAAAAAAAAACATAAAGGAATATTTAGCAGTATTGTTTGTTCTGATATGTGAATTTGTTTGTGGCAACTAAAAACAAAAAAAGGCATTCAGCAGTTTCTGACAATTAACATTCATCATTCCACACTCCTTGTCAACAAAGTGCTTTTTCACTGCCTAAAATTTTAGATGTAGATATTTGAAATAGATTTTTTTCATTTATACCAGTTTTCTTTATGATGATACAGTGTTAAAAGAAAATAAATTACAATTGATCTGTCATCCATATTTGCTAAGAATGTCTATTTCCAAGAACCTACCATACAAATATACATTCTTACATGTGTGTGTCCACGTATGCATAGTATTCTGTGTGCGTGTGTATGTTTGAGTGTGTGTGTTTGTGTGGCGTAAGACTTCTTCTCATCCAATGTTTTCCTTATTCAATCTTCAATTTTTGTTTGATTTTCAGTTATTTTAAACAGTGGAAACTCCAGTATGTGCTTTCTCTTACTCACTTTCTTAACCATTGATAGCAATTCAAAATTGTCCGGCCGCATACTCACAAAGGAAGGGGTTATCAGATTTTTTTCACTGACTCCTTCACCCTTAGGTGCCATTTCCTTTAAAATATCATCTCTTGATCTTCTCTTGAGGAAATTTCATTCCTCTCCAGCCACCAACAACAAGTGCTCAAGGAAGGCAGAGTTTGATCTTGCCATCTCCCTGAGGGAATGGAAAAACAAAGACCCAACGGACTAAAGTTTGGAGTCTCCAAACTCTTCAGTTTCATAGAAAGGTCCAATTCCTGAACTGTTAGGACAATCATTTTTTTTAACCCATACTAAAAAGAAAACCCAACACCCAGAATACATTCCTCAGATATGAAAGGTACCAACCCATTTCTGTGCATTTAAAGTAAAACCCAAAAGAAATGAAAATGTAAAGGACAGAGATATTTTTTATTATCATTATTTAAAAGAAAAGGAAGCTAAGCTAGGAGGCCAGAAGAGCTGGCATATTCATCTTAGCTCTTGGGATTCTGGAAATCAAAGAATTTAGCATTTCTTCATTTCTTTGGTTCAGGCAACAGTTCAGCGTACTGTTTTCACAGTGTAAGACCTACCACAAATGGAGTAGTTGTAAGTTGCTTCAATTGCAGTTAAAGAGTTTGTTTTAGGTTGCAGACATCTCTGTGGTTAGTCATTGTAATAGTCTTACCATCACCTGGCACAGTTCTGTCTGTGTGCAGGGGGAGAAGTCTCTCGCAAGTCATCGCCTGCTCTGTAGGACGCAGCCCGAGTAGTTCACGCAGGCGGGTGTTGTGCCGTAGCATTGGTTTGTCGGTAATCTAGGACTGTAGTTAAATATCTTGGCAGCTTTTCCCAGTGTATGATATGTAACCTTATCTGCTCTTTGTAGTAAACAGGGGGAAAAAAATCGCATGCAAAAAAATTTTTAACACATGTAAGACAGGGTGGGTGGGAGGGGCACAGTGGGCCAGATGTATAGCGAGGTAGATAAAAATATTATTCATAGTTTTGGACACAGGTTGTTTATATTTTATTTATTACATTGGTTTTAATAAGTGACATTTGCAGTGCTCTTTTGAACAAAGCACCTTTTCAGTATAAAAGCTTTTTTTTAATAAAGAATGTCACTCGCAACTTGAAGTTCTTGACTGCGTGATAACCACCAGGCTGGTGCAGTTCTCCAGGCACCGCATTGCCAATAGGCAGAGGGGATCTGTCATTCTGTTTGAAGTTCGTAGGACAGGAGGTTATTGTAAGTTGGATTTATTTCCATTCTTCAAGCTACTGAAACGCCCACGTTGCCCCCTTTCAGCTCCTCATAGGAATTACTTGGAGACAAATGTTGACCATTGCTCAAGTGAGAGATTCTGGATCGATCAAGTGGCATAAAATACCTTTTGTCTATACTTTTGTGTTGTTTTGTTTCCATTCTTCTGTAGTGGCAAGCGCTCTGACTGATAACGTTCACTCTTGCTGTACTGAGTTTTGAGAAGGTGTTGAATTACCCAGCTTCTTTTCCAGGCTTGGAAATCCAACACTGCTGCCATACTGAGCAAGATATATCTATGATGCATTCTTTTTAATATGGAGGAAAGTATCATTACCCGTTGCTGTTCCCTTCATTCTTGTACTAGATCACACACAGAAATAGAGAAGAATCAAAACTGTTCCAAAAACAAATGTATAAAATGCAATTGATGTACTGTAAAATGTCGGATTTTTTTTTTAACAAGCTTCGTATTAGAATCTTGTTCAGCTGTGTAGAGCTATATAAATCTCACTGTTTTATTAAATGCTGTTTATGGTCTGGAAGGAATGGTTAACCTATCTCAAGATTAACAAATTTGCACTAACATGAGCAATATTGATTTGAAAAAAAAAATGAATTCAATATTTAAAAGATAAACTATGATTTTAAAGGTATATTAACACTGAAAGTACATTTTGACAAATAACGTATTTAAGCCCAAAATATAAATGGTTATGTCAGATAACACAAAAGAACTATAACAATATAGATTGAGAAAAAAAATGTGTTTTCACTGTACATGTTGCTAACATGTACAAAGACAAACTCCTACTGACATATTTTCTATTAATAAATCCTACTGTATTGTGGAGAATCGCTGGTCATAGTGCAATATGTTTAAACTCAGAAGCTGACTCCGTAGACTGATGCCTAGATTCACACAGCCAACAAATACCATTATTTATTTAAGGTGTTAACTGGATACTTAACTTCCAGCTTTCAAGTCATTTCCTCCCCCATCCCTCTCCACCAGGTTTATAAGCTCAAAGTACTCCACAACTCAAAGTGAAGGGGAGAGGTATTTTTGAGAACTCCCAACTCATAGCTGCAAGAGTCAAGCTGCCACTGCTTACAGAGAGATAGTTTAACTACACCAGTAGGAAGAAACTCAAAAGCTGAAGGCTGGTGCCACTGAATAGGAACGTGCTGTAAAAAACTGATTTTGGCCCCAGTGTTACCTAGACCACAGCCAAGAAACAAAAACCAAGCCATTAATTTACTTGTGCATTGCTGGGAATCCCGGCATGTGCTCCATGTAAGGGCTCAGGAATAATTGTTTCCTGGGACTGGGTTGCATTAGCCTGCAGAAGCATCTCACCAGGAGACTTACAGCTCAGAAACGCTGACTTACTTTTTATACCTTGGCACAGCGCAGGCTGTGCAAGCCAGTGTGCTGCAGGGGAGGCTTCCTCAACTCCTCCACCCCTGTTACTCATCCTCTCCTGCCAGCAAGCAGAGAGAGCCCTGGGTTTAGTGCTACTGCTTGTATCGAGAGGAGCGGGAGAGATGGAGACAGCAATCCAAGGCAGGGGAGATGACACAACAAACAAGAGCCCTAAAAATAGAGAAACTTGGAGCTTGTGTGTGAAGACGGATACACACCCATAATTACTAACAGTGGAATGGAGCCAGCAAGAGATTTTATGCACTGAGAACATAAATATGACTAACAACCTAATGTAGTGAAAATTGAATAGCAACAGCATGATACACGCAAAGCTTTATGCTAGAAAAGTGGGAGGGAGCAGCAGAGGGAAATCACAGGTCACCACTGGGCACTTTCAGCTTCAGCCAGCAGATGCTGGGCAGGAGGGCAGAGACTACTTACTGCTGTGAAGGAGAGGTGGGAGGGATGAGGCTCTGGATCAAAAACTTTGTCAAAAAGACATTAGGAGCCAAAACAGAGGCAACTTTTTGCAAGCACCTACACACACACCTTGCCCACCATCCTCAGCGGAAGAGTGTGGTCCCCCCCCTCTACAGCTGCATGGACAAAGTGTACATGGGGTTGCAGTTTGAAGCCATAGGTGCCCCAATATCTGCTGAAGACCTGTGCAGTGCTTTCTTTTTCCAGGGGACTAGCTGGTATTTAAGCAGTGGCCTAAAGCCAGTTCTGGACATTCAGGCTGAAAATGGGAGATTTGAGTTTCATTCCCAAGCGAGGCGGGATTGAAGCATGCAGCTGATACCTGTAGGGAGCAGGGCATCCCTGCCTACCAGGCACTTGTAAAAACCAAGTGAGAAAAGCAGTGACTATCATGTCCTTTGATAGCCTGGGTAAGGAGTACTTACTCCTGACTCTTGCTCCAGTCTTCCAAGGGCCACATCAAACAACTCCACCTAACACAAGCACTTCAACTTCTCTCCAATGTGCCCAGGTTTTGCACCACTTTGACCACACCACATCATTCAAAAGATGGTACAAGGTACCTGGAAGAGCACTGGTGCTGGCCAGGCACAGTACTCTAGTAAGACACCAGGCTGATGCATTATTCCTAAATCTTAATTCCCAGTCAAACTCACTGTAGTATTTTTAATCCAATTTTAAAAGCAGCTTCCTTCCTCTATGGGCATTGGTATTGCTTTGCCAGAAGAAAGCACATGCTAAACTCTTGCAAAGTTTAAACTGTTTGCTTACACATAGTTTTAAGGACCACAGAAGTTCCTGTAAAGGCTTCCACCTGCTTCACCAACCCATGCATCAGGCCAAAAGTGAAAACAGGTGAAGAATTGCTGCAGTCTTCTCAAAGGATGAGCACCTAGAGGCCACTCTTGCCAGCATGCCAAAGGCTACAATCTTCAAATAACTAAAAAGGAGAGAAAAGTCAAGATATTTGCTAGTACCTATCAGTCCAAATTTACTATGGAGCCTTTGGCTCTTTCAATTTTATTTTCAGTGCTTTAAGAGAGTGACACAGGTAAAAAGTACTCGCTGTGACTGATTGTTGCAGTTAATTTCAGTAGCAGATGAGTAAACACCAAAATACCTTTCTTTTCCAGACAGGCAAAATCTGAAGCTTGCCACTGAATCTGGGAAAGCAAAATAGCATTGTTTTGCTGATTCACTGTTTTTCACAAATTCAGTTAAAGTATTAATTCACATAACCTTTTTCAATTATATATATAGGCCAGTGGCAATGGAGATTACTTTTTTTTTACATTATTTACTTACTTTACATGAATGTTACATAGGCAGAAAATGTTGCTAACTAAACATGTCAAGACAATAAATAGGATATCAAAACTGAAGATAAAATTGAGGCTACTATACAGACAATCAACTATTACTTCTGTTTGCCATCCACTGATAGTGAAGAGTATGAAGCCTAACATACCGCCTCTCACAAGGCCAAGGCACCGATGAAGCCCCACATTTCAGCCATCAATGTTTTCATGAAATACAAGCAAAAGTATGTGTTTAGGAAGCGAAACAGCAGGTC